AAAAAAAAAAAATAAAAAAAAAAACCACCCCCCCCCCCCCCCCAAAAAAAAAACAACAACCGATACTGACGTCAATCTACAAGCCATCCACGTGGCGCCACGTCAGGTTTTCTACCGCTTATGTTACGTAATATGTGTATTGAACTTTCAACTTTAGCACATGACTAATTAATTACGCCCACTGTTTGCACACGGTCTTCAATGATATGAATGGAACAGAAATTGCTAGGCCATCTGCCCGTGTTTATTATTAGTAACCACGTGAATGTGAATATCGTTGGCAATGGCTGCACACTGCACTAAAATGTCAAACTGGGACAAAGTCAACGGGAGTCATCGGCCATATGTGGCTTTCAATGTGTACTGTAAGACATTAATACATTAAGCAGGCTAGGGGGGGGGGGGGGGGGGGGGGGGGGGGGGGGGGGGGGGGGGGGGGGGGGGCACTGCCAGCCCCCCTGAGAAAGTCAAGTGCCCTACTGGATAATAACGCAAGGCAGCTGTACTGTTCTCGCCGACCCTAATTAATATTTTAAGAAAAGAAAAAAAAAAGATTTAAATGTAAATGTAAGCCTACTTATTAAAATGAAGGATATCTGGAAGATTGGGACAATCGCGACGCGCACTATATTTGATGTTAGCATAGTTATTTTTTTAGACCGATATACATATATTTAAATAGAGAGAGAGAGAGATGTATTTATTGCAAAATCATTACTTATGAGGTAAAGTGTGACCTATACTCTGAACAATATCGAATTAAAGTACCTTTGCATCGCTATAAAGGCTTACAAAGAACCTAAATTATCAGGAAAGAGACAGAAACTCCAAGCAGTGGAAAATCTCACATATTTGGACAGCACCCTGTCCAGGTCAGTAACAATAGATGATGAGATCAAGAACCAAATTTCCAAAGCAAATATTGCATTTGGAAGGCTCTGCAAGAGTATTTTGAAGCGAATGGGTCTCAGTCATGTCACTAAGCTCAAAGCATATATGGCAACCATATTAACATGTCTCCTATATGCTTGTGAGACGTGTTGACGTGTACAGCAGACACACTAGGCAGCTAAACTAGCTCCGTCACGCTGTCTACATAAATTTCTTGGCATGCGGTAGCAGGGCAAAGACACTGATACACAGTTTCTCCAACAGGCTGCTTTTATCAGCGTCCACACACTCCTACACAAGGACAAGAAGATGGGTTGGGCATGTTGCAAGAATGTCAGACAGCAGACTTCCCAAACAACTAATGCTCGATGAACTCTCCAGTGGGAAACGCTGAGCTGGTGGGCATATGAATGAAATAGCAAAACGAGGTATGTGAAAGCTTGAGTAAGAGAACAGGACAAAAAACAAGGACGTTTTGGCATAAAGCCTTCCTCAGCCCACAATAGAAATGAAAATATAACAAAGAAAAGAGCACAGTAGACAACTCAAGCAGTATCCATTCGTGTCGCCGGAAGTGGGAACACAGGAAACGAGAGAATATAAATATTGACACTGTGAAAAATTAAGTCCACAATAATAATGGACCAGAATATCCAGGGATACATCAACACACAGCAATAAGAAAATAGATGAAATATAGGGAAACAGAGAAACATCAGTAGGATATTATTTGATTAATACCATATGGAGATATGGTGCCAAACAGCTGAATAAATTTATTTTCCATTTTAACCCTCTCTGGTGTGTTACTGCATGAATTCAGTGCTGTAAGGGTTACATCCAATGCACCTTTATGTTCTTTTCTGTTGAAATGAGAAGAGACTGGGGAAGGTTTACATTGCTCAATATCCCTTAGATGTTCAGTAAACCTATCAGCCAATCTTCTCCCAGTTTCACCTATGTATCTAGATTGGCATCTACGGCACACAATCACATATATTACATTTCTGCTGACACAGGTGAAACCCTCTTTAATGGTAAAGGTACCTTTAGGGAGACTAATGCTTTCAGTTTGGAGTGTAAAGGGACAAGTCCTACAACGGCTTCTTAAGCATGGTTTAGTACCAACGTAAGACGGTTCAGATCGAAGGCGACTATGAACCAGAAGATCACCTAGATTTCTGTCCTGTCTAAAGACAATCAGTGGAGGGGATGAGAAAACCCTGTTGGTATCGGGTCAGCAAGAAGTATGCTACGATTTTTTAGGAATATTTTTTTGGCAGTTAAATTGTGAGGGTGGTAGGTTAGTATAACCTGGGCAGAAGAAACTCTTCAAGGACTGTCAAAAAGCTTCACTCAAATCCATGGACCTTGACCCTGATTTTTGCGAGACGCTTGCTAAGGATTGATCACACAATATGGTGTGGCAGACTCACTGTTGGAACACAATACTTGGAGAATAAGCAAAGAATGCGCATGGCAAGGAAAAGTGTTATCAACTCACATCCATCTAGGACCCAAAACAATGTGTGTCCCATGCGAGGTAAAGCTTTCCAGGCACAAATAGGATTGGCAGGCTACCTGCATACTCACTGTGGAATATAGCCGTGTTCATCTTCCTACGCACAGGACAAACGGCAACAACACAGTTTTTCTGAATAAAATATAACGCAGCAGTAAAGGGTTCAAATGCACAAGTAAAATATTCAAGCTCAGAATGTAAATTCCAGGTCTAATAGTTTCTGCTTCTTTTTTTCTAATCTTTTAATGTAATTAATTTTGTATTTATTTTATTTCATGTAGTGGCCGCACAGCCCCTTAAAAGTGCACCAGTTGGGAATCATTGACATAGAATATAGAATAAAAGAACTCAATTTGAATATGTACTTAGTAGAGGGCAGATAAATTAATGCATGAAGGTGGTTACAGTTTCAAATATGAAAATGGCTTTCTGGTAACACTGACATAAGAGATTACCAATATAAGTGAAAATTGCAATATTTAATCTCTAGAGCAGGCCAGCACCCACTTGGCGGCCTGCGAAGTAACAAAATATTCTTTATTATTATTATTTTCTTAATAGCTTTCCCCCATGTCCTATCATCTTTTGGCCAGCACAAGTTTTTTTATAAAGTATTATGGCCTGCATTACATTTTGAGTTGTGCCGGCCTGCTTTAGAGGAAACTCCTTGGATCTCTAATAAGAAAGATGGTAACACTGGGAAATGATATAGCTAATGACTGGTTAACACACTTTCTTTAGATATATGAATTCACTTGTCCTGAGAATACAACATAAAATATATGTATGCACTTGTAGGGATAATTAAATATGGCCTTCTACTCATAGTGCAATGCACACCTAAACTTTATAGGCTTGTGGGGATCGGATAAGTCTATGGGGAAATTGGTATAAACAAAGAGGGATGTCATAGCATTATCATAACACTCATTATGACAAATAGAATTTGGCTAAGAGAACTCACTGAATGGCTGTTTGAGATAATTTATTATAAATGTCTTGTCTTAAAATTGTTTTATTTATGTGCTGCAGATGTATAATGCAATCAAACAACATTTCCATTTATTTGGATCAGTAAAAGAATCTTATCTTATCTTAAAGGTTTTAATTTTCTCTCTTCATCATGAAAAAATTGGTGATTTTAAAGTGAAGGTACCTGCCTATAACTATAAGTTAAGTGGGGTAAATATTGATTTACAAGAAGTGCTGGCTCCTTGTATTTTATGAACCATGTGGGTTGATAATTTGGTTAAGTTTAGAAATATAAATGAATGTAACACACCCAACCCATTTACCATTTCTTTCACAATTGGGTCTGGCAACGTTTGTGTTATTCTCATCTGTTTAATTACCGGTACTGTTTAATTAGTGTGTGCTTGAGGTCTTGCTATTGGATGAAGTTAAACTTTACCAATAATCTTATGCCCACAGATATTACCAGACCCTGGCTTTCGAAGAGAAATAAAACAATTGCTAGTTTACTGTTCTAATGTTGACAATGGATGCCCCGAGCAGCTTAAGTTTGCTGCACTTGAAGTAAGTGGCAGTTATTTATTTTTAGGATGAGTTTCTTCGCCAAAATGCATGTTTAAGAAATAAAGTAAAAAGTTTACAATTCTGAAATATTGCACCTTTATCTTTTATATTTACAAATAAATAAATTTATAAATATTTATACATTTCATAAGCATGATAAATGGTTGTTTTAAATTCCAAGATGCTTAATTTTTATAATTTAATCAGCTTGGTGATACTCAAGTTCTATATTAGATCAAAGAAAATAATTTTAAAATTTTGCAAAATGAAGAATAGATATCTTTTGACCAAATATAACAGGCAAGCATGTTAACTCATGATTTATCCTCTCTAACTTTTCACAGAACCATGTTTCAACGTGCCCATTCAGAGAAGTCAGATGTAGCTACCTATCAAGGGGTTGCGAGGTCAAAATGTTGGCAAAGAATTTGCAAATGCATGAAGAAACTTGTCAATACAGACTTGTCAGTTGTGACCTGTGTAACATGGAGTCCAGTGCTTATTTACAAAAGGTTTTTTTAAAAACTTATTATTATTATTTTTTTTAATGTACCTTGCATTCTTTGAGGTTTTTCTCTCAATATATTTCTTGCTGACAATTGTTATATTCATTAATGCGATCAGATTATAGATCATTTTTTTTTACACAATATGGAATTTTTATTTATAATATAGGACTGACTAAATTGGCTATTTTCCTTCTTATTAAACTTATATTACTGATAATTATTTTTAGAAACATGAAGAGGAGGTCTGCCCTGAGGCTTTGCTTGAATGTCCATATAAATGCGGGGAAACACAAATCAAACGGAGATTAGTAAGTACTTGATACTTTCAAGATAGCCAGATAATTGTTGACAAGATTTTGGTATAAGCTTTGAAATTTTAGAACAATGTCAAGCAATTTTATTGACTTATTTTCTGTTTAACTGCACAGTTGGAGGACCATAAAGCATTATGCCCCAAAAAACCAACTGAGTGTGTGTTTAAAAGCCTTGGATGTACATTTGTGGTAAGATAATTTACTATAAAATAAAGAATACATTTCTGTTGTTTTTTTCTATGGTAAACAATAATAGTCCATATTTCATGGTAGAAAAAATAATTAAACGAATTTTTAACAAAAACCAGCTAAGGTCCAACAATATTTTACATAATCAGGCCAAGAACAGCCAACAATTATTAACATAAGTCCACCATTTATAGTTAACAAGTCATGCCATAACATTATGTAAACCATATTCTGATTTTATTAACTTGCTGCAGGGAGACACAGCAAATGTGAGAATACATGAATCAGATAAAAGCTTACATTTTGATGTAGTTTGTCAGTTTGCCCTCATGTCAGAAGTGCAAAGGAAGGAAGAGCGGGGAAAGTTGCAGGTGCAGTAAAGGTTACTTATTATGTTTTGGATCCTTTTTAAAACAAAGTTTTTATTTTTATATTTTAAGTAAAGAGGTTTATTTTTTTCATCCATCCATCAATTGTATTTGTTGTTTACTTTGCTCTCCATTCAGGAACTTGGTGCACTTGTTGATGACACAAGACAACTTATTGAGAGGACAGAAAACAATATAAAGACAATACACAGGGATTTGAAGGTTAGTTTAACCCTCTTGAGACAGAGTCTGGTTGGACTGGCGGTGCCCAGTAGACTGAGCCCATTTCACAAGCCCTGCACTTACTTTTCAAAAAACAAAAAAAATGGTAAAAAATAAAGTACATACTTTACAAATATAAAACTATATATATTCTTGTAGGGCATTGAATAAACTAATATGATTTACATGAATCAAACTGAAATGTCAACATTTATGCAAATAAGATATCCCGATTTGTATAATTTATATATGCAATTTTTTTAAAGTTTTGAATAAACATGTCTTACTTGCAGAATTTCGTTAAATTTTATGATTGTTGAAGCTTAAATAAGTCCTGACAAACATTTGAATGAGTTACAATGCAAAAAATATTCCCCTGGGGCTGTTTATGCCTTTGGGCATATTTCAAGGTGAAATATTTTTAAGAATCTATAGGGATCACCAGGCACAAACAAAATTGATATATGACAGAACACCATAAACTGTCAATTGAAGCCACCATTCAAATGGCTAGATGAGCAAGAAGTGCAAGAAGCAATCTGCAAGAAGCTTGCTCAAAGATCACTGAGCCAATCTCAAGGCATTTATTATTTGGCAGATGATCTGCCATTTGCCTCTTTCATCATTTAAATCTCGGCCAATGATCGGCCCATCTGTCTCAAGAGCAGGCCTGCAGAACTCAGAATGTAAGGTGGACCGTAATACTTTATGAAAAGCTTGTGCGGGCCGAAAGAAAGAAAATATGAAAAGGGGAAGCTATTAAGAAATCACGGAAATAATAACGAATATTTCGTTACTTTGTGGGCTGGCGAAGTGAATTCTGGCGCCGCAGGCCGTTTTTTTGTGCAGGCCTGCTCAAGATGATTAAATCCATGTTGTATGGTATATTCCTGGTAATTTCTGCAACTTGAAATATGGGTCTTCTTAAGGGGGGATAATAATTTAAATTATATGACTTTTCTTATTTCTCGAAAGAAATCTTGCTTCTGCTCTTGAGAGCAATCTTCTTGGGCTCATATTATATTACTGGATGAGAATTCTTTAAAGGGATAACAAATAAACCAACAGAATTTCAAAATAGAAATTAAATATTATATTTTACGGTTGACTTGTTTCAAATCTAACCTTAAGTTTAAGATCAATCAAAGGTTTAGTCCAAGAATATCACATTTTATATTTTGATAACTTGCAGTTAAAAATGGTCCAACAAGTTGAAAGACTGATCATTGTGGAGCAGAAAGCTGATCAGATGCCTGCATCCCAAGGAAATTCAACACAGGAAATACAACAATTACAACAGAGCATTGAGCAATTGAGTAAGTTCTTGCATGAATCGATTTTTCTTATTTGTGATTTATTCACTGACGATAAATACAAGATTCTTTGCTATGCTACTTATTCTTATTTTTCACCTAGCCAATGTGGCATAATTAAATTAGATTACTTATGTGCTGGGAATTTATTTATTTGTTACCAGTTTAGTAGAGTATGTATCTATGGATATAGATCAGTGGTCTTTAGGATAGTATGTTTCAATGGCTATAGAACAGTGGTCTTTAACTGTGGAGGGTATGATGCCAAATAGAATACACACTTAACTTTAAAATATAGCAATAATAGCAACAAACAAAACGAAAACACCTTTTCATTTTTTGAAAGTACAGTCTTAGAATAAATATTAAAATTTCTCTTCTAAATTTACTGAGCTCATTGCCAGACCTTGAACAAAAGTGCCAGGAGATCTCAGTCTTAAATGTGTAGGTTGTGTTGATTCTTGTCCCAAGCAGAATGTTTAAGAGCAAAGTCACAAAGACATTAAAATTGTATGGAAATCTAGCCGGTAAAATTAGATTGTATTTAAATGAATGTCTTAAATGAATAATAGTTTAACATGCATGCTACACAAAACAAGGAATTTTTTATGAAGTGATCAAACCAAGATATAGTATCTGGCATATGTACATGACTAGTGGCATAGCTTCCTACCTGTGCCTCAATGAGTAGCTAAATAGTCTGATGCTAGACTGGCAGTCTCTGCTTCACTTCGACAGACTGATTGGCCTTCAGTGCAGCCTTCCAAGTCACTAATGTTGATACTGGCCTCAAAGAAATTTTTTATTTATAAGGGTGCATTAGGTTTAAAAAATTTGAAGACCACTGATATAGAACATTTTATTTCATTTGTTTTATTTAAGAGGATCTCATTCTGTTTTATTTTAGAGGGTCTCATTCCTCAAGTTGCAAGTCATGACCGCCAAGTTGCTAGTCATGAGATACGTATGGCTGAAATGGATTTAAGGTTTCAAATGTTAGAGACAGCTAGCTATGATGGAAAGCTCTTGTGGAAGATTAGGGATTTCAGCCACAGGAAAAGGGTAATATTCAATTTTTTTCTTTTATTTTTACAATATGGAGATAAAGGTAATGATTAAATGGGCTCAGGGTATTTCATGTTCTTGTCAAAATATTTCATTGAAAATTACTGCTTCTAAACGTTTGACACTCATGAATATAATTATACAGGAATAATTATAACAATTTCAAGATTTCTTATGATTACCTGGTACTTTCCAATTATTTAGTGTCTAAGTGAGTTCATTTCTTTCCGTGATAATATGTTGTTTTTTAAAAATGATTTTAATATTTTTGCTTATTAAAATATGTCCAGTGAGAGGGCTAATATTATGATCTAAATAAATCTGATACATTTTTCATTGCTTTATTTAAGGATGCAGTCCAGGGTCGGACAGTTTCACTATACAGCCAGCCATTTTATACTGGTCGATTCGGATACAAGATGTGTGCCAGAGTGTATCTGAATGGAGATGGCATCGGACGTGGAACTCACATGTCACTTTACTTTGTGGTCATGAAAGGAGAGTATGATGCCCTTTTGGCTTGGCCTTTTCAACAGAGAGTAAGTGGAGAGTATGATGCCCTTTTAGCTTGGCCTTCTCAACAGAGAGTAAGTGGAGGGTAAGATGCCCTTTTGGCTTGGCCATATCAACAGAGAGTAAATGGAGAGTGTGATGCCCTTTTGGCTTGGCCTTTTCAACAGAGAGTAAGTGGAGAGTATGATGCCCTTTTGGCGTGGGCTTTTCAACAGAGAGTAAGTGGAGGGTGAACCTTTGTTGTTATACGAGGTTTAGTTAATGCTAGAAAGTATGGATGTTACAAATGGACAAAGTGCTAAAACAAACATAAAGGGTTTCAAAAAATAAGTATATTATCTGACCTCACCCTACCTAGTGTAAGTAGTATACCCGTAATGGATGCATAAGTTGAGATTTTTGGTTACTCTTGTTAAAGTAATTGTTATAAAAAATTTAACATACCATTTCTTATTATATAAGTCTCCTATTTAGCAATTTACTTTTTAAAACTGAACTCAGGATACACAGTGAGTTCTTTGATATAAATTTAAATTCATTTGTAAAGACCTTTCAATACTGTTTTATTGATTATTTTAAAATGTGGAGACTTTTCATTCCTGTTTTATCTGATCATAGTAACTTAGTCCATGGACTGTTAACTATTTCAACATTATTTAACAACAGGTTAGTCTGGTACTGCTGGATCAGTCTCCAGAGAAGAGGCACCTGAAGGACGAGTTTTTCCCAGACCCAAACAGCACCAGCTTCAGGCGACCAATGAATGCTGAGATGAACGTGGCAAGTGGTTGCCCCTTGTTTGTGGCTCACACAGTCCTTGAGAACCAAAGCAACAATTACATCAAGGATGACACCCTCTTCATTAAGGTCATGGTGGATACCTCCAACCTACAACTCATTTAACGAACAATTTTTATTGACACTGGAATTTTTTTACTTCATACATTTCACAACCTTAATGAGAGTTTAATTCTGTTTTTATGTCTTTTTTGGTGTCATTGGACTCGAATTTTGTTTACTTGTTTCAATATTGTTCTTTATTTTGTACTTTTCTTCATTTGTCTTTGTTTGGTACTTCATAAAAATAAAAATTTCCAGAGAGATGTTTCCAGTGGACCCACTAGCCATGTGGCTCCTTTTAAAAAAAATATCAAGGCGCCCATGGTTAAAGGTTTACTGGTAATAATGCCACTGCAGGAAATTCTCTTCAGTTGAATGTCTAAAAAAACCAAAGAAATGGTTGTCCATTTTAGGAGGGAGACTCACAAATAGCTTATTAAACAATAGAAAATCAAAGACATATAGTACCTAGGTTATTACCATTAATTATAAGCTAATGTGTCATGGTTACTGCCTAATTCTATATAAAAAAGGTAACGAAAGACTTTTCTTAATTAAAAAATTACACAATTCTGGCACAATTTAACATATTTTCCAGTGCAACAGTTGGAAGCCTTCTGAACTTCAGATAAAACAACAGGTGGGGGAATTCATCACTTCTAATCAAACACTGATTAGACTTAAACTTAAAGCAAGTGATATCACACAAACAAAACAACCTTCGCTTGAACTATTTTAAGAAATGTTCATTTGTAAAACTAAAAAAGTTTTGGCTGATACCAGGTACATCCCACTCACTTCATCAAAGATACCTAAGATCAGGGCAAATTCTTTCAATCAAAGTAAAGGACTGAAATATATAAAGATTTGTTTGATCCCCAAATGTATAAGATTTTTACCAGCAAACTCCTCTAGCCGGCTGTTGAAAAAATCAAAATAATTGACCGTTAGTCAACATGGTCACTAACTGAATGACATCACATAGTATATGAGGTTGATTTTTGCACTTGAGAAATATGCCTTGTGTTAAATTGTTCTTGTTTATAAATGTTTGTCTTTGTAAGAATATTTATATACCTGGTATGGGCTGAAACTGAATGTGTACATTATAATCAAAAAATCATTTCCATATATTTGTATCAATGAAATTAACTTATCTTAAAAAGAGCTGCCCCTGTCAGTCTCTTAAACAATATGCTTTCTTCATTCTTTTATAATACATTTCTTTTTTTGGAATATAAAAATTTCTGTTTCTTCGGGTTGTGTGTTTAAGACATCAATTGAGTTAGCATCCAGTTATTGACCCATTGCTGGGAAGAGGGGGGGGGAATGACCCAGGTTATGTAACTGGTTTATGAGACTGCCCAGGAGATGTTTTCCATAAAGATAAGACTTCAGTTGTTTATTTACTTTTGTTTTTGTAAGATTTTCTCTAGAATTAGAACTAATAGGAACGATTGGGATTATGGCCCCTTTCAAAACCTCACCTTGTCGCGGTGAAAGGCATTAGTACTTTGCAACAGAGCAGATGAAACAAACGAGGTTGCACACATGCGAAGTTTTCCTATGAGTGATGGGCTGACAAGTGACTGAAAGTTACCTGGGTGCAGGAAGTGGGGGTTTTAGATGTTATTTCATATGTGTTTGTTCAGGGACTGCTAAAAATTATCAGTGCAGTTTTACTTTCTTCTTTCAAAGCTTAATTTTTGTCATTTATTAATTACTAGCTTTTCTATCTCTTCTACATAGTCAGCCAAAAACATGAATACACTCTTCAGGAAAAGAAACTAATTGTATACATATTTTAATACAGAGCGAATTTAGGTATAAGTTTAACGTTTATTGAAATTTTTAAGAAAAGGTCTTTCATTGCTAAAATATCTATAAGTGATTCATCAAACCATGACAATATTTGTGGTAGTACATTTGATGTTTCAAATTTGAGGATGTCATTGAAATTGAAGTCAAAGAGGTGCTTTTTTAGTTTTCTGACTTAATACTTGGAGACTTTTACATTTTGGGAACCCTAAAGTAAATGCCTTTTATAGAAATGAGAAAATACAATAGAGACTCTTAAAGAAGATATTGAAAGTGCATGTGCAGGTTATACTTTTGCCAATGCTGCCTAAGCAGCAGTTCACCATACTACTAATAAATGTCTGGATGGTAAGGACAAACACTTGGAGAGTCTCTTGTAATTGTGAAGCAAATGTAATTTGTACTTGTATAAATTTCAGGTCCAAAATTCATTAAAATATTTTTGCATGTTTTTCTTTTCTTGAAATGTGCATACAATTTTTGGGCGGGATTCTGTATTCCTTGTGTAATAATCTATCTTAGACTAGCTGCTGCTGTGTTCATTTGGTGTCCTAGAGAGAAAGAGAGACTTGGCAGATATTAGCAGTCCTTTTTTTGTGTTATCACATCACTGAAAAAGTTTGGCTGTGATTTATTTAAATTTAAAGCAGTTTGACTTATTCATGTTGTGGATGCCATGAAAACACTGCTCTCCACTTGACACGTACACCAGAAGGCTGTCAGGTCTATCTCCTAATTGCCAATATGATGCACTCCGTTATTATAATTGTTAAGTATTATTCTGGTTAAGGTTTTCTTAAGGGATATAATTACAAATGGTCAACTTTTATATATTTATCCCTAACTCTTTGTGTTTGTGTGTAAACAAGTTCAGTCCATTGACACAGTTTTCCATTAAATAAAATTATATTATTTTGACAGTTTATCAAGAGTCATCTTAGTATTAGTGTCAGTGTAGTGTAGATTTATCTATGATGTGTTACGAAATTGTAAAACAGAGTTTTACAGCAATATTTTAAAGAATTAAGTTAATAGTGCTTCTCTTGTCTATAATATAGAGACTAACATTTGATTACTAATAATTAGCAAATAAAAAACGTTTAAAAAACTTAATAAAAAAGTAGACTTTCTTTCAAAGATGAATTTAAGCCTACTAAAAGGTAGAAAATAATTTTCTTAAAATTAATTACACAAAGCCTGTGCAAGAAATGTTTTTTTTTTTTAATTTGACCAAAAAACCAGCAAAAACTTCTTTCTATATCATTGGAATCCTTTGTCTTTGTAGAGTGCCTTACTACCCTAACCCATCTGCACATATTTTCTTTGTATAATGAATTTTAAGAAAATTATTTTCTACATTTTAATGCACTTAAACTCAATCTTGTTTTTTGAAAGAAAATTTTATTTGTCATTAGTAAAGTTATTACAAATCAGTGTCATTGCTCATTGGAATTTATTCTTGTATATCATATCATTAAATACCGTTTCATATTTAAACCCAACTCTTAAGGTTGGCTTCATTTGTCTAGGGACGTTGGTCTAAAAATACACCATGGTGTATTAAGAAAGGGCGTTAAGCATTATAAATCCATTGACCTAGGCATCTATTAAAGAATTGAGTTATGTCTTAAATAGGAATACAAAATGTCATGATTATAGAATAATTTATTTACACACTACAATCACTGGTGAGAGAACAATGAGTAAAAAAGTCCAAAGCGCATGTCATTTAATAAAAGGATTATGTCAGTAATAGGTGGATGATGCCAGTAATAACAGGATTATGTCAGTAATAGGTGGATTATGTCAAAAATAAATGGATTATGTCAGTAACAGGTGGATAATGCCAGTATCAAATGAGAGATAATTGAATGCACTATATGTTTGTCAACTTACTTATTCAGTTTAACTAAAATAAACTACCACAAATGACATCCGAATAATTTGAGTCAAATGGTACCCGGGTGCGAATGGTGGTGCTGCGTGTCTGGGTTCATTATGACTCAGTGTTATTCGGATGTCATTTGTGATAGTTTATTTTAAAGTTAAACTGAAGAATTAAGTTTACAAACATATTGTCCGTTTAATTATCTTTCATTTGATATCTCATTTTGTCTTACAAACCCAACAATAAAATTTTAAATAGTTTTTTAATCCCAACCTCTCACTTCTGGTACCCGGGTACGAATAGCCACTTCAGTTAAACTAACTAGACAACATCAGTCATGTGCAGAAGCTAAGGGAATCACAAAAAATATTAGTGATTTCAATTTTCTTTGTTCTTTAGTGATTTGGTATTGTTTATGCCCAGACTATTTCAAGACAAAGATCTTGATTTAAACAAGTCAATTTTAATTGTATAATTATAACTCTAAAGGCAACAAAAACTATGCTCCGTAATTATGTGACAGACCAGATGAATGCAACAGCCGAATCATTGCCAGATGAATTTGATATTGAATGCAGTTTTCCCCCTTGAACTACATGTTACAACAAAGAATTCAGCGGGGGAGGGGGGGGGGGAGAGACAGACTTTGTTACTATGACGTTCCAGGGGAGCCAAATTTTTTACTCAGAAAATAATTTTGGATTTCATATTGTTACCCGGAGTTTGCATACCGCAATTTATTCAGTTAATGATCGATTTTTACTGTGAGTCATTTGTATTTTTTTTTTTAAAAATGCAGAAATTTGATAAAAATGCAGTTTTCAAAGAAGGCCCGGATCTTCAATTAGATTTCGAGCCTGAAAGGTAAGATTGAGCTGACTAAACAGTAGCTGACTAAACAGAACTGTGTGATGAGTTACTTGCCTAATTTAGCAAGAAGAATAACCGAAACATCAAGCTCCAGGGGCATATCGCAATCTATGTCGAATTCAAAGCTTGGATGATCAATTTCCAATGAGAATGTTGCTAACACTCCCAATAACAGTTGTGAGTTCTGATAGAAGCATTTCGAAGTTCAAACTATCTTGAGACACATTAGAAAGAAAGACATGGCCTTTATTTGTATGTGTTTCAAAATGGTTTGGATAGCTTAGCTGTAATACTGTAATATCCATAGAAAAAATTATTGCAGCAGAATGGATATGGCCGAACTATTTCAGGTTTTTGCTTGTGCGAAAAAAAATGAAGCACA